AGTGAACGTGTGAACTGAAGACCATGTGGCAGCCCTGCAAATGTCCTGAATGGGGACATAGGCTAAAAAGGCAGCCAATGAGGCTTGCGCCCTAGTCGAGTGTGCCCTCACAATTGATGGCGGAGGGATTCCCGCCAGGTCATGACAGGTACGGATGCACGAGGTGATCCAGTTGGAGAGCTACTGAGTGGAGATCGGCCGACCCTTCATGCGCTCGGCCGAGGTGATGAACGGTTGCGAGGACTTTCTGAATGGCTTAGTCCGCTCCAGGTAAAAGGCCAGAGACCGTCTCACATCCAGCGTGTGGAGGCGGCGTTCCTCACTGGATGCATGGGGCTTGGGGCAGAGGGCCTGCAGAAAAATGGCCTGACCCATGTGATAGGCGGAGACCACCTTCAGGAGGAACGAAGGGTGTGGGCGGAGCTGGACCTTATCTTTATGAAACACCATGTACGGGGGTTCGGAGGTCAGGGCCCTGAGTTCCGAGACCCGCCTACCCGACGTGATCGCAACCAGGAAGGCCACCTTCCACGAGAGGTATGACCAGGAACACGTGGCTAGTGGCTCAAATAGGGGCCCCGTGAGACAAGCCAACACCAGGTTTAGGTCCCACTGTGGGACTGGGGGCCTAACATATAGGAAGAGACGATCCAACCCCTTAAGGAATCGGCCAGTCATAGCATGGGAGAATAACGTGTGGCCCTGCGCCGGCGGATGGAAGGCCGATATGGCCGCCAGGTGCACCTTGACTGATGAGGGCACCAGGCCCTGGGCTCTAAGGTGAAGGAGGTAGTCCAGAATAAGCTGGATCGGGGCGGCCACCGGGGAAACACCCTGCTCTTCCACCCATCTGGAAAACCGACACCACTTTGCCAAGTAGGCTTGGTGCATGGAGGGCCGCCTGCTTTCTAGGAGGACACGCTGAACACCTTCTGAGCACGTCATTTCCTCTCTACCTAACCATTGATCAGCCACGCCGTGAGGTGGAGTGCCGCTAGTTGGGGTGGAGGCAGCAGCCCTGGTCCTGGGAGAGTAGGACCGGGCGGGACGGCAATGGCCACGGCGGGGCGACCACCAGGCCTGTGAGGGTCCCGTACCAATGCTGCCTGGGCCATGCCGGGGCAATCAGAAGGACCCGGGCCTTGTCCGTCTTTAACTTTCCAGGACCTTGCCGATCAGTGGGAACGGGGGAAAGGCATAGAGAAACTGGCTTGACCAGGACAGGAGGAAGGCATTAGAGATAGTACCCCATCCCAGCCCCATCCCCAAAGCAGAATCGGGGACAGCGACGGTTCTGCCGAGTCACGAACAGGTCCACGTGAGGAGTTCCCCACACTTGGAAAAGTCTGTGCACCACCTCTAGGTGGAGAGACCACTCGTGCTGAGAAGAGAAGTCCCTGCTCAAGCGATCTGTGCGCGCATTCCAGGTGCCTGGCAGATGGAAGGCCTGTTGGCACATGTCATGGGCTATACAAAAGTCCCACAGCCTGAGGGCTTCACGGCAGAGGATCGGGCCCAGCCTTGCCTGTTGATGTAGAACATCAATGCCGTGTTGTCCGTGAGGACCCTGACCACTCGGCCCGTCAGGTGCAAGCGGAAGGCCATGCATGCCAGCCATACCGCCCTGAGCTCCTTGACATTTATGTGGAGGGTCAGATCCTGAGCCGACCACAGACCTTGGGTCTGAATGTTCCCCACATGGGCTCCCCATCCCAGGTCCGACGCACCAGACACCAGTTCCAGCGACGGGGCCCTGCCCCTGAACAGGACCCCTTAGAGCATGTTTCTCGGGGAGGACCACCACCGTAGGAAGGTGATCCCTGGCTCGGACACCGTGTGGACTTTGTCCATCCTGTTCCTGGCGTGAGAGAACTGGGAGGGGCTTCATCCTGAGTCTGGCATGACAGACCACATATATGCACGCCGACATGTGACCTAAGAGCTGGAGGCACACTCTGGCTGTTGTCCCCGGAAACCTCGTGACCGTGTCGATGAGCCCCTTCAGGGTCTCGAACCTGTTCGATGGGAGGGAGGCTCTGGCCGACGAGGAGTCCAGGACCACCCCGATAAACTCTATGCATTGTACCAGGACTAACATGGACTTGGTGTTGTTTACCAACAGCCCCAAAGTAATTCATGTGGACAGAAGGAGCACCATGTGATCCCGCACCTGCGACTGGGAGCTGCCCTTGACCAACCAGTTGTCCAGATAGGGGAAGATCTGGACCCCCCGGCGCCTGAGGTAGGCTAGGGGGCAGGTCGAGACTGCCTCTGTGGGCGCCTCTTATAGTCCCACGACTTCTTATAAGCGGTCTCGTATTTTGAATGGGTGGCCTAAGCGGGAGTCTGCGGCTTGAACTTAGGTTGAACCGGAGCCAGAACATAGAGATCCAGAGTCTGGAGAGTCGTGCGGGAGTCTTTCAGACCATGCAGCTTTGTATCCGTTTGTTCCACAAACAGGGCTTTGCCATCAAACGGGAGGTCATGCAGGGAGGTCTGCGCCTCTCTGGACAGCCCAGAGAGCAGGAGCCATGACGCCCTTCTCATGGACACTGCGGAGGCCATGGACCGGGCAGCCGTGTCCACTGCATCCGAAGCTGCCTGCAGGGTTGCCCTGGCAGTCGCTGTGCCCTCCTCTACCAGCGCTTTGTATTCTTTCCTGTCGCGCTCCTGGAGGGAGTCCTCAAACTTGGGCAGGGAGCCCCACAGATTGAACTCATACCGGCCCAGGAGAGCCTGGTGGTTCACCACCCGTAGCTGGAAGCTCGAGGACAAATAAATTTTTCTTCCAAATGAGTCCAGCCTCCTTGAATCTTCATTTTTTGGGGTAGGGGCTGGTTGGCCCTGCCATTCCCTGTGGTTGACCGACTCGACGAACAGGGAGTTAGGAGCAGGGTGGGTGTATAAGTATTCATGCCCCTTGGTGGGTACAAAATACTTGCGTTCTGCTCTCTTAGAGATGGGGGCCAGTGATGCTGGGGTTTGCCACAGGGCATTTGAAATTTTCGCCACCCCTTCATGGACAGGCAAGGCCACCCTGACTGATGCCGAGGAGGACAGTACATTAAAGAGGGGAGTCCGAGGGCTCCTCCATCTCCTCTGCCTGCAGGTGGAGGCTTGATGCCACCCTTTTTAAGAGAGTTCTTGGTGGGCCCTAAAGTCCTCCTGTGGGACGGAGGGAGGAGGGGCCATAATCGCCTCATCCGGGAAGGGTGAAGAGGCCAGCGCGGTATTTTGTGTCGCCACCGGCGCCGGAGGTTTCACCACCTGGTCGGTCTCTGGGCACGATGCCAAGGATGTACGTCCCACCAACTCCTTCCTCAGAGGTCTGGAGAGGGAGGCCGATGGTCCTTCTGAGGCTCCGGCCACCAAGCAAGCCCCCACCAGGGACTGCATCGGGGGACACGGTGCTCACTGGTACCATTGGGCTGTCCACGGGGCCCGGGGCCACTGCACCTGCTGTGGCACCGGCGAAGCCGGCTGTTCGGCCCAGCAATGGATGACTATGAAGGGAGGCCAGGCTGACATACGACCTGCCGCTGTCCCTGGACTGGGAGGAGTGGTGGCGCTGGGAGCGATGCAGACCACGGGACCGCAATCCTGACGTGGAGGACTGGTACTGTTGGTAACAGCTGCTCCGTGATCAGCTCTGGCGGGCGGACCTGCGACGGCGAGACGCCGGCAATCGACGCTCGGGGCTGCGGAGGTGATGCCGTGGCAGGATCCTGGAGCAGGACGACGAACGGGAACGACGTCGACGTTCATGCCATGACCGGCTGCGATAACCTCTCCAAGACGAGGACCTTTGGCATCGTCTGCCTTGGTCCCGTCTGTGTTTGCACCTTGAGGAGGAGCGGTGCCAAGAGTCTCGGTCAAACGGAACCCAACCAGACAGCCTGGTGGGCGTCAAGGGCGATCCCCGTGGACTTTGCCCTGAACGGATGCTGGGCGCCGAACGGTGGCGGGAACATTCCCTCGACCGAGACCAGTACTGGTACTGAGCCGGGGGTGACTGCGGCGATCCCAGCGGCGGCTTGCCTCTGGAGCATGGGACCGATATCGGCAGTGCTCCTGGTACCAGCATGGACATAACACCCTGAGCCGCCTGCAGATCCTCCAGTGTGGTGGGCATCCGGACATGTGAGGAGGCCTGCTTCGAATGGGCTGGGCTATTCCGAGGCTCGACTTGAGTCAGAGGCCTAGAGGCCGGTGGGGATCGAGGATTGCCCAACATGGGTCTAGCCTCTGTCCCGGGTTTACTCCAGTGCCGGGACAAAGAAGGCCTCTTCCTAATCTTCTTGGCGTGCCCCGTGGACGGGGAGCGGTACCAACTAGTCGATGGCGCCGAAGGGTTGTCGCGCACCAACACTGCGGTACCCGGTGCCGACTCAGAGTGGCACGCCAGAGCTGGGGTCAGCGTCGACGCCATCAGAATAGCCCAGAGCCTGATGTCCCTTTCTCTCTTGGTCCGAGTCTTAAACAGCTTGCAAATCTTGCAGCGATCGCTGAGATGGGTTTCCCCCAAACAGAGTAAACTGTCCGCGTGCGGATCACTCACTGGCATAGATCGCCTACAAGTGTCGCACGACTTAAAACCCGGGGCACGGGGCATGCTCTGGCCCGGGCACTCTAGCTAAAACTAAACTAAACTACAGGTACCATACACTGAACGAACAAGCAGTTTTGGGGACAAGCTACAGCAGACCTGGAGCAGAGCAGTTCTGAAGCACCTTCACTGGCGGCAAGAAAGAACTGAGGGTGAGGGGGAGCGCGCAGCACCCCTTATACCGCGCCATGAAGGCGCCACTACAAGGGTTGCTAAGGCGCTCAACTACGGGTACTGCTAGCAGCAAAACTTCCGGCACCAGTGCACATGGCAAGCACGCACATCTATTATGGAATACACATGAGCAATCACTCGAAGAAGAATGCTCCTTAATCATAAAGTATATATTTTTGCATTTAAGTATTAAGGGAACAAAGAATAAAATATCCCTTACTTTTTGCACATAACACAGAGTTTCTTTGGAGCAGGTTTATGCGAGAATGATGAGAGGCAGGCAGTGGAACAAAACAGGTGAGCTGATCCTTTGCGCTGATATGCAGTCTGTCCCTTCTGCAAGGGCTTTTTGCAATTTGCACATGTGACTTTAACCTGTTTAGAAGGTTGTTGTTGTGCAGACGGCTGAAAAATCTGTTTAGGAAGTGAGGCCACTGGTGACAAGGAATCCACACCTGGTTGTTTCTGATTTCTAGGGAATGAAGCTGACTGGGATATCCAGGAATCTTAAAAATACAAAATACATGGAAAATTAAGTGAATAGACATCTTTCAATATACAAACAGATTTGATTATATTAGGATAATTTGCTAACAAAAGGGTTTAAAGAGGGGGAATTGGTTATCTTGGAGGTATACGTAAAACAATTTAAAAGAACATGCTCAGTCAGTATATTTAGATCAATGGCATTGTTCTCTGCCATCACAGGAAATCCCAAAACAGGGGAGCATCTCAAGGTGCCCATTTCCTAGGCCTGGAGACACCAATCAGAGTGATTAACACACCTGTAGTTTGTCCGCAAATTGGCATTTGAACCTTACTCCTGAGGGCATTCTGTGCCAAAAACTTTAAAATTCTGCACACAACATTTTAAAATTCTGCATGTTTTATTTGTCAATAAATAAATACAGAGGCTCCAGCATGGCTGTGGGGAGCACAGGCCACTGGCTGTACAAAGGTGGGGATCACCCTGCAGCCTCCTCACCCCGGGACACGGACTCAGTGGCGAGGCTGCACCTGACCCTGACACAGCACAAGGCCTGGGCCTGCCCCAGAAACACCCTGGGGCCCTGCGCCAGGCGCACTAGGTGTGGGGCAGGCAGGCTCAACCAGGCAGGATCCAAGTGTGGAGGGATTCAGTGTGGGGAGAGAGGATTCTGTGTGGGACAATCTGAGTGAAGGCAGCTCAGTGGGGGGTCTAGACATGTGGGGATTTGGGTGCACAGAGGTTCGTTGAGGGGATTCCAGGTGCAAGGGGAATGGGACTCTGTAGGGGCTTCCAAGTAAAAGTGGTTGGGGCTCAGCAGAGGGGTCTGGTTGTGAGGGTCTCTGCAGGGAGATCTGCCGGGGGAATGGGGATTGGTGGGTTGGGGATCTGAGTCAAGTTAGTTGGGAGTGGCGTCGGGGGTCTCGATGGGGGGGCTCAGGGAGTTGGGGCTCATCAGGGTGGAGGTTTGAGTGCAGGGAGCTCAGTGGGGGGTGGTCTGGGTGCAGGGGTGGGGGTTTCGAGGCGGGGGGCTCCAAATGCAGGGGTTGAAGTTCAGTGGGGTAGGGTTTGGGTATGGAGGGCTAGGGGGGTTCTGGGTATACGGGGTGAGGCTTGACGGGGGTTGGGCGGATGGCAGAGCAGCTCCTCATACAGTGACCCCTCCCCCTGCAGCTGAGGAGCAATGGGGGCAAGAAGTGGGGAGGGGGAGGAAGAACACAGCCCCAGCCACTCCTTGCAGGGGAAGAGGAAGTCCCATCCTCTCCTGCCTCCAGCCCAGCCAGGACTAGCAGCTGATCCCTCCTCTGGGTAGGAGCCACTGGCTGAGGTGTCCTCAGCCCTGCAGTGATTTACCTCACCACCTGCTGCTCCGGGTGCCTGAAACAATGTACCTGCGCAGCTAGGGAATGGTGTGTGACTGCTCTTGCAGCTTCACTCTGCTTCCTTGTCAGAAAGTCATTTTTCTGCAGGGAAACAAAGAAATCTGCGGGGGACATGAATTCTGCGCATGCGCACTGGTGCAGAATTCCCCCAGGAGTAGAACCTGTAGACAAATATTAAATCGTGCCAATTGCAGTTAAAAATTCAAAGCAGAGAAGTCAAAGCAGAATTTCCATTTTGAAGATTTCATCTATTAGAAACTTCCATTTTCTAAAATATTACTGAAGAGGTTTATAAATTTGGACCAATCAAATGTTTATCAGACTTAGGCTGTTATCAAAGATACTTTTCATGTTTTTATTTTAAAAGCAAAACCCTGGATTTTCTGTAGATAGAAAGTTCACTTATACAGAGATTTACATTATTCTAAAACTGTTTTGATTTAAAACTTCTGGTATTACATACAAAAATAGTAGATTTGCAACTTCTGAAGTAGTTTCCCAGTCCGGAGTCTCTGGCCCCAAGGATTTTTGTATTACAATTAAAGACAGGCAAAATAGATTCATACCAATCATCACGTTTATCTATATCATGGTTCCTATAGGAAGCAATTTCTGTTTTACTCTAAAACCCATTTCAAGGCAATGGCTATCAATTAGAACAATGGAAATCTGCAGGATAGCAAAAACTGATGAGTTCTCAGGATTATGGTCTTCTCAGTAGGGAACAATGAACCTAGAAGTTAATAGTCTAAGTCCTTGCAGTACCTAAACTCCTCCTCAAAGCATCCCCTCCTCCCACCTAGCTCTGGACAATACAATCCCAGAGTACAGACCCACTCTTAGACAGTCATTTTATAGTTTAATATGTTGCAGGGCCGTTTGTATCACAATTTAATTTGTCCCACAGGAAAAGAAAAAAATAGCATCCCTGTCTCTGCTGAACTCAATTTTTAATATCTTACTTAGGTTCAGAAGACAAAGTTCTGGCAAAACTATTCTTCTATAAAACCCTCTTTCTAGGCATTTCTCCAGAATTTAAAACTTCCATTTTGACCAACTAAGTTTTTAGGCCTGACAATGGAGAAAGTTCTATAGGATGCCAAGAGTAAGAAGTATTATTTTAAGTATGAAAAATTTCATAAGTGTATTTCCTTTACATTTGAATGACCCAATTTATTTCACTTAAAATACCAACAACATGACAACTATCACCAGTAACTTCAGAGCACTTAAATTTATCTTTTGATCCTGTCATTCCATTCTTCTAAATGAATGTTTCATAGAAATAATGCTAGAGCCCGGCATGTATAAACAATCTTATCTTAGATAACATATTTGCCATGGTCCCCAAGTTAAAGCAAATGTGGCATTTACCCTAACCTATAAGCTGAAAGCACTGACGTACTGCAAACTGCACTGCAGGACCTTAAAAGGTCTGTGGCATCTCTATCGTTTGGTCCAGTATCAGCAAGTTAGTTTACATGCATAAACATTTTTAGTGACTCTCCTTGCACCTTAGAACAGCTGGTGCTCAAAATAGCCATATAGAAACAAAAAAGAAAAAAAAATCTGTGTGTAAATTCCGAAGATTTTGGATTCTTCATCCCCGCAGTTTTTAGAAAATGACTACAGCCTATTCTTGATGTTTTCTAAGGAATCCATCAATCAATCAAATGAAAGACTGCCATATTTTCTAATAAAGCACTGTATTTCTAAGAAAAGACCATAAAGATCAAGCTTTACTAAGTGTGCTGCGCAATTCTTGGATAAAAGTTTCAAGGACTCTAAAATTTATTCTTTAACTACTCGAGGAGTCCAATGTTCTTGTTTGGAAATCCAGGTTACTGTTTGAGATTGCATGTTTGCCTGCCCTGTTGTCTGTCATGACAGCTGCCATGGATGTCCTATTTCCCAGGCATGCAAGACGCATTAAATGTAAGTTGACTATTAGAAAGCTTCAATTAACAAAGTGGAGGGGTTATGGGGAGGACAGGAGAAGCAGTGCAAAAACATTCTTTTTGACCTGGCAGACAATTTTTAAAAAAATTTTTTAAAGAATGTGCCCCACTGACAAATCTAGATATGTTACCACAGTACTTACAGTTTAAGGAGACTCATGCAAATGTAGACTCCATTTTTTGTCAACTACCTTAGACTGACAGATCTATTTCTAGAAAATACCTCAATCAGTCAGAATATTGACACTTTCCCTTTTTTCATACGTGATTGGAATAGGAGTCCACACTGGTTCCTTTCCATCCAGAACAAGGAAGCACATGCTCGGAAAGATTCCTGTATATGCGACTATACCACCAATATTACTTAAATGATGCTTCATGGGCCCTATGGTTTGCACACTTCGTTTTCGGTTGAGACTCCAACTTGCCACTCACAACTCCTAGCCCAGGGGTCAGCAACCTTTCAGAGGTGGTGTGCCGAGTCTTCATTTATTCACTCTAATTTAAGGTTCTGCTTGCCAGTAATGTATTTTAACATTTTTAGAAGGTCTTTTTCTATAAGTCTATAATATATAACTAAACTATTGTTGTATGTAAAGTAAATAAGGTTTTTAAAATGTTTAAGAATCTTCATTTAAAATTAACTTAAAATGCAGAGCCCCCTGGACTGGTGGCCAGGACCCGGTCAGCATGAGTGCCACCGAAAATCAGCTCGCACGCCGCCGTTGGCACACGTGCCATACGTTGCCTACCCCTGTCTTAGCCCCTTCCACAAGGCTGCAGCTGGCCTTGAGATTCCCCTCACATCTTAAAATTTCAAGTGGACTTCCCTCCTTTCTGCACGGGAAATATCATAAAATGTAGAAACAGTAAGTGTCTAATCTTAAAATGGGACTTCTTGCTTCTTCCTCTTTTGTCTTTCATTTCTTTATTCTACTCTTTTCTCCCTCATATTTGCACTCCATTCACTTTATCCTTCTCTGCCAACTCTGTTCACATCCTTGAGTCTCACTTTTTCCTCCTTCATCTTTCCTTGTATTCCACCACCTTCCTTCCCTTCTTCAAAACCATTCCTAAAGCCTGATCTCAGCACAAAAAAGGTGTCTCCCCTTCTTTGGTTCATTCCCATGTTGTCACAAAGTCTCCATTTCTTCAAGTTGCTCTCCTCCCCTCCCCACCAGTGCTCTGTTAGGCAACATCCTCTTTTACAAGTATCAGAGGGGTAGCCGTGTTAGTCTGGATCTGTAAAAAGCAACAGAGAGTCCTGTGGCACCTTTAAGATTAACAGATGTATTAGAACATAAGAACGGCCGTACCGGGTCAGACCAAAGGTCCATCTAGCCCAGTATCCTGTCTACCGACAGTGGCCAATGCCAGGTGCCCCAGAGGGAGTGGACCAACAGGCAATGATCAAGTGATATCTCTCCTGCCATCCATCTCCATCCTCTGACAAACAGAGGCTAGGGACACCATTCCTTACCCATCCTGGCTAATAGCCATTAATGGACTTAACCACCATGAATTTATCCAGTTCTCTTTTAAACGCTGTTAAAGTCCTAGCCTTCACAAACTCCTCGGGTAAGGAGTTCCACAAGTTGACTGTGCGCTGCGTGAAGAAGAACTTCCTTGTATTTGTTTTAAACCTGCTGCCTATTAATTTAGTTTGGTGACCCCTAGTT